TTTTTAATTTAAATATATATATTTATCATCAGAGATATTAAAATTTTAAATATTTAATATTCATATTTAAATAATATTAATGATCGAAATTTATTTTAATATTTCAATTCGTCAATAATTAAAAAAAAAATCTAAAACATTTTTCAGACATTTAATTAAATTAAAGTTAATCCCATCTTCATTATTTCATACCAAACGCCATTAAAAGATTAAAAATGTCATATTTTATGAAAATAATTTTAATAGAATAAGTGAAAGAGCATAATAAAATAATAATTATTATATGTCTGACTCATCCATTTAACTTTAACGTACACGTGGCAAATGTAATAAAATATTTATAAAAAAAAAAAGCCTTTTTTTTCTGTCTCTTCCATTCTTTATTTATATTTATATATTTATAGGTTTGTATGTGTGAACGTGTGGTTGATGGGTTATGTGCTGAGTCAGATCCACGTAGGATCCAAATCTTATATTGGTTTAATCATTTGCTTAGTTTAAAGTTTAGGACGATGACAAATACAAAATAAAATGTCGGAAAATAAAATTATTTAGAATTAAAGATAAATATATTTAGTTCAACACCATTAAACAAAGATTAAATGGATAAATTTAATGTAATTATATTGCACTAATTAAATATGTTTTTTTTACAAAAATACCCTCGTATTAAATTAATCATAATTATAATTATCCAACTAATTATTTAAATTAATCTTTTTTTTACATATTTAAATAAATTAATTTATTAAATTTAAATCATTGAGAAAACACACGAGTATATATTTCATGGTTAAATTTATAGATATTATTAAAATTTACATTATAAATTTAATTAACATATATTAATTATTTTTATATTTTCTATTTTTATTAAACCTATTTAAATTGTTTGTTTAAAATCTAAGGAAACAGGGTTATTGCATTAGCTCTAATGGGCCATGAGGCCCATTAAAGATTGTCGGTAGTGGACCAGGCCCATCTACTAGTATATATTAAGTTAATTAATTTTAAAATTTTTAATTTCGTGTCTAATAAATTCTTCGATACTTTTAAAATTTACGATATTAAACTCAATATTAAAATTTTAATATTATATTAGAGAAAAAATTAATTAATATTTGATTTATTAGTTTTAAGAAATGTTAAGCATTAAAAAAATTATTAAATATTAAAAATTGAGGGATTTATGCAACATTTTTAAATTTAATGACTTAAATAGTATTTTAAAATTTTAAATATAATATTGACAATTGAGGCATTTATGTATTTATTTATTTGTTTATTTAAAAAAGCGTGCTACACTTAAATTTTAATCTAATAATTAATATTCTCATTTACACGTAGACTAACATAATCGTCATTCAAATGGGTACCAAAAAGAAATTTGTTAATAATCAAAGGACCCGTTAGTACTATTTTTTAAACTTCAGGGACTAAAGTGCTATTTTTGAAACCTACTGATTCAAACGAACATAAAAGTTACTCCCGATATCAAAAATGTTTTTTTAAAATTAAAATAATTATAATTTATTGTATATTTAAAAATAAAAAAAGAAAATACCAAAAATGATACCAAATTGTTTTGGCAAGAAAATCCTTGGCCACACCTTCCCCACTACGGCCTCTTTGAGGGCCCACCACAAAGTTTGACCCACAAATTAAGAACTCTCCTCCAAAGGAAAGAAAAGCATAAGGGTACACATGTTTCTCGACCGAACTAGTCGAGTTACTCTCGAGAGAGATCGGGTTTTTGATTCTCGAGGAACCGAATTTTTATTGAAGACTGTATATGATTGTATCAGACAACTCTTTGTGAAACGATAATCATTTCGTTTTCGAGAAATGATTGGATCGGACTGTTACTTGTCATCTCACATCTGCAAAGGAAAATGTTTAGAAACAATTGATATTAAGAACAATGTTCGGGTTGATTGGTTTGTCATCGTATAAAGCATAGGATATTCACGTAAGAGATTGAATTTGATCGGTAACATGCACGATATGATTTTCTAGTGACGTTTTTTTTATATTTAATATATATAAAATTGAAAATAAAAATATATATATTAAAAAAAAAGTCAATTTTTATTATTTAGTTAAGGTGTATGATTGGAAATAAGGTAGAGCGGTTTCCGGGCTTTCGGCAGAGAACATGGTTTGCTGTACTTCTGTTGGCGACGAAACTTCACGCGCCGTCGTATCGCGTGGTTGGAGAGTCCACAAGATTAATATAACATAAATTATAGTTGTATTTTATGAAAATAAAAAATCTACATTTTTTGAAATAAAACATATATTTTTATTATTAAACCTTTTCCTTTCCCATTGATTTGTTATTCTATATTAAATATACATTAAAATTTAATAAGATATATTTAAAAATTTAAATAATACCTTTATATTTTTAAAAGAATATTAAAAATATTTTAAACTTAAAATAAAAATTTAAAAATAATTTATATTTATTTCAAAAATATTATTTTAATTTTTAAAAGGATTTGAAAAATACCCAACTTTTAACCCTGCTCAAATAATTTATTGTTTAATAAATTTTGTTCCAAGTTCAAAATATTTACAATTTTAGTCTAAAAAAAAGTCTCTAACTCGATTTAATATGAATTTAATTATTTGTTGATATTTAAAAAAACAAATATTTATTAAACTAAATAAACTCACAAGAAAAATGGATAATTATTTGGTTAGAGAAATTATTTAAAATACTTATGATGAGTAATAATTAGAAAATAGTGAATTTTGGTATAAATACAATTAAACAGTCAGTATTATACCCACAACAAAATCATAATTAGTAACACGTAATATATATATATATATATATATATATATATATATACACGTACGTACCTGTAATTAATTTATTTAAAGAATTGAATACATGAATGCGTATTAACGGCTAATCACGATATAATTAACATTTTTATAATTAAAACGTATTTATTTATGAAAATATATGAAACTATAACATTTTTTTTTCGTTCAACCGAGTTCCAAAACAAGAGCACGAGGGAATAAACTTTTCGTATAGTAAAGTCGATATTTTTTAATGTCAAATAAATCAATGACTTAATTTTTTAAAAAAAATTAATAAAAAATTATTTATGACTAAATTAATAAAAATACACTTTAAAAAGTCTCAATAATACTTTTGAATTAAAAAAAATATTAATTGCCCGTTAATTTTGGATGAAAATCGTTGCTTTCAAAAATATTTAAAAAATAAAATTTCATTAATAATATCGTAAAATTTTTAAAAAACTTAAAAAAAATACCTTTAATGTCCAATTAATATCTTTATTATATTATATTATATATAATATCTTTTAAATATTTATTTCTATAAAATCCATCTACAATATTAGAACTAGACATTAATGTCCAATTACTATAAAAGATAGACATTAAACACTATTGATTAATAATTTTAAATTTGTATTTAAAATATTATGACCAACGTATTACCACCGACCATGTGAGGTAGTTGCTAGATTAATAGCAGTAAGAGATCGCAAAAGTTGCAATTAACGGTGGTCGCCTTGTTGAGGTTTGTTGGGAAGGAGTCTTACACTGTCTAATTAAGGGGATGATCACAGTACATATCATATCATTGTAGTGGTCTGTAGTTCTCGACATGGTGTCAGACTCAGATTTTTAACTTAGTCACATCAATAGAATCCTGAAGTGTTGAACAAAGAAATTTGGAGCCTTGAAAGTGTAGTCAAAAGTGACTCGAGCGTAGATCAAAGATGTACTTTGTTTAAGGGTTTCAGAGAAGGAGTTGAGCCTCGATTAAGAGGAGGTTGTTCGAGGGCTCCATAAGTCTCACATTGACTTATGAGAATGATCATTATATAATATCATACTATTGCAGAAATCCGTAGTTTTTAATACATCGAAAGTAGGTGATAGTGGGTAACGTCCACCATAGTGGAAATGAAGGTAGTACAAGGGTAGTTTAGTCATTTTCAAAAGATTCGGAGTTAAATACTATTTATTTATTTATTTATTTATGAAATTTAATTTTGAGCCTTTTAACTCTAAATAACTTATTTCTAATAGTTATTTTTTACAATTTTTATTTTAAAAAATTGTTCAAAATTAAATAATTAAAAAAAGTTGAATAAAAATTGTTCAGATTTATGGGGTAAATTCACGAATCTTCAATTATGCGTCTAATTATTATTATTTACTATTAGCATTACGTTTAATATATCGTGATACATCCTTTAAAATTTCGGTGATCTGTTAGACATAAAATCAACGTTTTTAAAAATTCTTTAATACCCTTTATGACGTACCGCTACACTGAACATTCTAATATCTACTAGATACTTTTTTTAAATTCAATAATATGTAGAACGAGGATTTTGGACATATGATTTCTAGGTTAAAATTACCTATTAACCTAGCTCGTGTTAGCTAGTTGAACTATGCTCGTATTAGCTATCAAACATTTTTTTATGACGTTTCATATGAACGATTATTACTGGTACTAACAAGATGCACTTAATGATAGACACTCCAACAATTTTTTATAATGAACGATTTTTTAGAATTTTGTGGAGGAAGATCGGTATCGATCCTCGTGTTATTACTAACATCGAAGCTAATTTCGGGAACTACCCAAAACAAAATTGAAAATTTATAGACCAAAAAAAAATTAAGGGAAGAAGAATGTTCACATTTTCTAGAGAGAGAAAGAGAGATTGAGTAAAAAAATACCAAAAAAAAAACCATATAAACCCAACTCTGTTTCTCTCTCCGCCATCCTCAGCGGCGGTTCCGCGAGTTAACCGACGCGCCGCCCTCTATCTCTCCTCTTCTTGAACGCCCACAGTCGTCACCTTTCCCCTTAAAAAGTCCAAATCCGCATACCCTCTTTCTTGAACTTCTTTTTCCTTAAAATCTTTCTTATTTTCTAGAGAGAGAAAAAGGGCTCTGTTTCTGTTGAGGTTCTTCTCTGTTTCTTGAACTCTTCAATGGCGACGAACCATTTCTCCTTCAAAGCCGGTAGGATAAATCTTTATACCATCACTTTAGTTACGATTCTCTGCGCCGCCTTTTACCTCGTCGGCGTTTGGCAACATTCCGTCGGAAAATCCATCGTCTTTTCTAACGGAAATTACGCCTGTACCACCGTCGCCGCCACCCAGAATTCCACTGCCGACGTCACCGTCGACCTTGATTTCACAGCCCATCACACCGCCTCCGATCTTAAAGTCGTTACAAAAGTGCGTGATATTCAACTCCCACCGTGCGACGGGAAGTTTAGCGAATACACCCCCTGCGAGGACCGGGAAAGGTCGCTGAAATTCGACAGGGATCGGTTGATTTACCGAGAACGTCATTGCCCAGTCGCCGGCGAGATTCTTAAATGCCGGATTCCGGCGCCGGCAAACTACAAGGTTCCGTTCCGGTGGCCGGAGAGCCGGGATTTCGCTTGGTTTTCGAATGTTCCGCATAAGGAATTAACGGTGGAGAAGAAGAATCAGAATTGGGTTCGGTACGAGAAAGACCGGTTCAGATTCCCAGGCGGCGGCACCATGTTCCCTCACGGCGCCGACGCCTACATCGACGATATCGGAAAACTGATCAATCTCGCCGACGGGTCAATCAGAACCGCCGTGGACACCGGCTGTGGGGTACGTAACGATTTTTTAACTAATTTTTTTGAACCGGCCGGTCCAACTCAAATTCATTGAATTAATATTTATTAGGAAAATATTCAGAAATTGATTTATTTCCATAGGAGATTTTTTTCATGTGATTTATGGAAAATTCCAAATTTAAATAACTTGTTTTTATTGGTGGGACGACTGCCAAAAATGAAATTAAGTTAGGGACTTTTTATTAAATTCAAGAAAGTAAGAAAAATAGCAAATTGCACCATAATTCTATTATTATTGCTGTTTTTTACTGCATTTTTGGCTTCTTCACTCCTCCACACAAGAATATTGATTAGTTGGGGGGTCAAATTATAAATTTATTTAATTTGTACCATTTTTTTTTATTTTCAAAGAAAAAAAAATTAAATTTCCTCGCATATTTGTAAATCATTATTTTTATAAAAAAAAAAAAAA